ATGGCGCAATGACTACGATCTGCTAGACTTTCTCATAGCCTGAAGGCCTATTTGTTAACAAGGAGAAGATAATAACGAACAAAGATAGAAGGATTAACAGTAATCGTTCAAGTTAGTTTGTCCCTTGGATTAGCAAGTTTTTTTTACCATGGCGCATACAGTATGGAACGTAAATACGATCACTTAGTTGGCCATTACCCACATATCAATCCCGTCTGTCAACCTAACCTTTGAAATCTGAATATCTGGCAAACCTGCGATCTTAATATCTGGTAATCTCAAAGCATCTGTTCTAGCCGTCACCTGGTCACTGACGTCGACTGCACTACGGTTACTCAACGAACAATGTTCAAGGAACGCAGTAAAACGTTATAGCATGAAATTTATTTTGCATGCAGCATATTTTCAACCAAGCATTAGCTTCAGAATACACTAGACAACGATATAAAGAGATGTTGGGTCTGTACTCATTACTGATAGCATTTATTTATTTAATCGCTTAAAATCTACCGTTTTCTAATATCTGCATATAGGGTGACGTGGAAAATTTTTGCTTCCACGTAGTATGCAGATCTGTCGTATCTTAAAAAAGCTCTGGACCGATTTGAATTCGCAGTTACTAGGATTATAGATCAATTACGCAATATATGTACATATGCATATGGAAACTGAATTAATGACGGTAACCCTAGATCTTTCCCGCATGTCTCATGAGCTTCCTACATGTTTCAGGTTATAAAAGCAATAGCTTCACAGGAAAGGATGTTTCTACAATGGACTGAACCCAGTGAGTAAATTGCAAAGAAACAGGAAGTTAAGTGCTGAATACAGTGCAGAGGTCGACTTGCCATTGGCGGCCACGACTCATGTCACTTCGAATAGCGCGCTTATCATGTACGCCACTTTTGCAAAAATTTTTTTAAATGCCAAACTCACTTTAATCGTGGCCTGTAAATCCGAAGGAGCGGCTCCTACTCCCAGGATCATATCATTCTGATTTTTAAAACTACATACTCATGTCAGGGATAATCTGTGATCCTTCTTTTCGAACCAAAGGAGGTGCCTCTTCGCACAAGCTGACCATCGCCTCTAGCATCGCGTGCCGAAAGTTTGAGTCGATCTGTTTGTTTGCCATGGTCTAAAACGATGAGAAAATTGCATTCGTGACCTTCTGCCACTGGATATATACCTTGAGGAAAAGGCTGTGCAACTCACTCAAATCGGCCCTGAACATTTTCGGTACTGAGCCGGTCAGTTCGGTCAGCGCCAGCAAACAACAGTCGTCTTCACCCTTCTCGATCGTTTCGGCACAGACCTATAAACAGAGTATTTCGACTCAACGACAACCACAACATCTCAAAATGTGGTGCGCTTACGGCAAGGATCGGCCGAGTGAGTGGCTGAAAGCTCTTCGCCAACGTCATGTCTTCAACATTGTCGATGACAAAAGCGACGGTAGCTTTCATGGCCGCCATTCGTACATCAAGCGAATCTTGAAAAGTCAGACAAGCCATCAACATATTTTTTATGACTGGCAAATAATGTGCCTGCTGGTTGCCGAACACGGACGGAACGCTTCTATAATATTAGTTAAATAGCGAAAATAGTAAAAAAGAAATGACAGACGTACTCTATAATATCCAAAGCAGTTTGCTTACAGTGGTTCTCATTCGACTGCACACATTCGAACATAAACTTAAGCACTTCCGGCCAAGTTTGTGCGGCATCGTCGTCTAAAAAACAAGTGATCAATTATGAATACTGATACGA